TGGTGCTTGGTACCTAAAAGGATATGAATATTCATGAGCTTTCCCTTCCCCACACAGAAGGGGGAGGTGAAAGGGGTGAAATTCTTAGTTTTTCTCAATCCATATCTTGAAAAAACAGTAATAAAATCTACTGTTTATTTACTTATTTATTCATTCATCTAAGAAATATGTATTGAGATGTATCTTTTATATTCTGGGTACTCTTCTAGGCATGAGAACACAGACAAAGTCTCTGTTCTCATGGAGCTTATATTATAGTAGGAAGAGACAGATAACAGACCAATAAACATGTAAATAAGATAATACGTATAATGAAGACAAAAAGATAATGTGACCAAGATGGGAGGACCTATCTATTTCAGGGAAGGCCTCACCGAAGTGATAACATTTGAGCTGAAATATGAGTAATGAAAGGAGCTAGCCACACCAGGATTGGAGGGAAGAGCATTCTCAGCAAAAAGAACAGTTAAGTGTGAGCAGCCTGAGCCTGGCTTGAGCTTTGGAGAACAGAAGCAGATGTAGTGGAACACAGGAAGGATAGAGGGGTCGGGTTCAAAGTGAAATCGGAAAGAGAGGCAGGAAGGAGCAGGTCCTTCGGCCAACATTCATTCACATTACTGAGCATCTACTATATGCCAGGCACTCTTCTAAGTTCTGGGATACACCAGTGACCAAAGGCCCTTCTATCAGGGAGTTGACATTCTAGGGAAGGCAGTCTCATGGGGTCCTGCAGGCCCTGGTTAAAAAAAAAAAAAAAAAATTGCATTTCACTTTAAATAGGTTACCTTGTTTGAACTTCACAGTATCTAAGATAGGTGTCACAATCTTCATTTTATAGAGAAGAAAACAGAGGCTCCCAGAGGTGATGGTATATGACCTGCCTAAAATCATATCATTTGTGATGTGATGGGGTTGGTGGTCGTGGGAAAGCAGAACTGAGTACCCATCCTCCTAGGGTTGCTGTGTTGGCAAGGGTAGAGCCTGTAGTCAAAGCCCAGAACGTCTGGCTCCGAAGACTTTGCCATATCAACATGTTCCTTCCTCTTGGTTAGAAAGAAAGAAATTTGCCAGTACTTCAAGTCAAGCCAAAACAGACACAAGTAAGCCATTGTCCGGAAGTCACCGGATCAGGGGGCCAGGGCTTGAGGCTGCCACCTGGAATCCAGAGAGTGCTGTGAACTGTCCCACCTCATTGGGAGGCACCAGGCATCTTTCTCTCAGCAGGAAGAGAAAGGACTCCACAGAGGAGGCAGGGGGCACAGGTGTCCAGGGCCCACTGGATGGGCAGCCCCAGTTCCTCCCCGCAGAGGAAGAAGCAGCAGTGTTCCGATGGAGTAATCACAGGTATGGATCAGGCTGCAGAGAGATCCGGTGGCGTTTCCCAAGCTCTAGAAGGCACTGAAATGAATGAATAAGAGACAAGAAAATTCTATAAATTGGCTGTTCTATTTGATGTTCATTTAATTAAGACATTCAGTCCCTCTAATGGAAAATGTGAGGAGTGGAAATTATTTTTTTTTGGCCATCTCGTATAAAATGAAAACCAGATCTTGAAGGCATGAGGCTTTTCATTGTATCTTCTTCAAGCTCAATTTAATTATGTATTGCAGGCCACCTTCAATAATAATTACAATTGTCTGCCTGTATGCAAAGGCTCTTTCTGTCTTGGAGACCAAAGCTCTGGGGAGATGCCTACGGAGATTGGTGAAGGATCATTTAGTGAAAGCAGTTGTTTCTGTATTTGCGCATTCAGCAGATAAATATCATGTACCTACTGTGTGTCAAGCCTCTGTCAAGTCCTGCAGGAGATAGTGTTTGAATGAATCACGGTCTCCCCTTCCCAACAGAGCAGCAGAGGGGCCTCGCATAGCCAATCATGCATTCCTTTATTGTTCAAATAGCATTCCCTGCCCGTCTTCTCCCTGCCAGTCCCAGGGCTGGGGAAGAAGAGATGAACCGAGAGCCAGTCCTCCAGGGTCCCGTGGCTGGCAGGTGGTAGATTCCAGATTCCCAGCCTGCCTGACTCCACAGTCCTGTCCTGACTCAAGCACGCCCAGGCCGAAGCAGGCAACAGCTTGTACATGAGCTGTTACAATGCAGGGGACCCATTCTGTGAGGCAGCTGCGCCAGAGTATCACCGGGAGAAGGAACAAGAGAGAGACCAGGGAAGGCTTTACGAGGTGGCATTTGAGTGAGGCCATAGTAAAGTAGGATTGAAGTGACATCTGCCCTCTAATCTGGGATCTCCTTATCAATTCTTATCAGTAAGACTCTAAAACTCCTTTTTAAGTATCTCGCATGGCATAATAACATCTTTTGTATCTGGTTAGATTAGGAAATTACATAGTCTAAGTAAGTGGTCTCAGTAAAGAGTATGTATGTGGATAACAAGTGTTCAGAGAGCCAGACTAGAACAACATATACCCATCCCGTGAAACTGTTGAACTGAAATGGATCTTCCATTTTCATTCATTCATTAAGATGGCTCGGGATCTGACAGGACTCAGCCTACTCACAGACCACAGATGTAGCTAAGATGACCAGAGCAGAGCCAGTCTGGGGGTCTTGATTTGGGGCTCAGAAATTTGGGGTACCCTAGTAATATTTACTGAAAAGGCCTGGAGATTGATATTGGCAGATGTCCTATAAGTGAGACTCTTCCATAAATGCCAATAATTTATTTTTTTTCTTTGGGAGAGAGAGAGAGCGAGCACATGTGAGCCAAGGGGGAAGAAGAGGGAGAGGGAGAGAGGGGAGAGAGAGAATCTTAAGCAGACTCTACACCTGGCACAGAGCCTGATGCGGGGCTCCATCTCACGTCCCTGAGATCATGACCTGAGCCGAAATCAAGAGTTGGACATTTAACCAACTGAGCCACCCAGGCACTCCATAAATGCCAGTAATTTAGAAGGGCCACTTCCCCAAGATGGCCTTGTTCATGAGCTCTCTGTATGTGGCATTATTTGGGTGGTCACTTTTCTGATTATGAAAATAATTCATGTTCATTATTTTAAAATCTTGGGAATATAAAATATCACCTGTAATTCTACCTCCCAGAGATAACCACTCTAAACATTTTTGTGAAATCCCTTCCTATTCAAATTTCCAGCCGCCGTAAGGAGTTGAAAAGAATACCATCTCCCCTAGAGTTAAAGGAAGTAGAGCTCTGAGAGCATCTCCAGAACAGAGAGGCTTTAGGACAAACCTTCCAGATCTTTATCCTAAAACTCACCCTCCTTCCTAGCAGCAGTCTCACAGAATCACCTCCTCACCCAGCTCTGAGGGGCACCCTGCACCTGTGACCCTCCGGTCCGGGTTTTAAGCCACATCGTCACCCTCCCTGATGCCAGACTGATGATTTCTTACAAGAATCTGACTCAGTGCTAAGGAAGAAATGAGAAATCATGACAAGAAGCAGGTTTCCAAAGCCCCTAAGGTGCCTGTAGGAGAGTCAGAAGGATTGATACAGCCCACACCCTTGCCCCGCCAAGCCCAAGCCCAAGGTATATGGTAGAGATCCCTGTGCTGCTTGCCATGTTGGAAAGGCTTCCGTCCCCCTTCCTCAGACCTCAGCAACAGATTCAACTGATCCCAGAGTTGGTCTTCGGTCAAGGACTGGGGTGAGTCATTCAAAAGACCTTTAACCAGCACTCCATCTGTGGCCGACTGTGCCAGGGTAAAGAGTGCCTCGGTCAGTCCCAGGCACAGGGACAGAAAGAGTTGGCAGAAGGCAGAATCCCTGCAGCACCCACATCTGACCTTGGGCAGAAAACTGCTCAGCCAAGGCCTGCCTGGTCTCACCTCCCAAGTCTCACCTGAAGCCGTAGAAGCCACAGCACCAGGGGTCCCAGCAGGAAGCCAGGCGCAGCTGAAGGACCGCGGGAAGAGCCAGGACAGCGCTAAACACTCGGGCCTTTCACTTCGCCATCCCGAAATCCCTCGGGGCCCAGAAGCAGCTGTAGTAAGGGCAAAGCAGGGGGAAATGTCCAGTAGGGAGCCCCGGAGGCCATGGGGGAGACCTACAACAGAAGCCGTGTGCCAGCTTGAGCATGAGCAGAAGTCAGAAATACTGACATCTGGATGAAGACCTCTTTTCCCATTCACACACAAGGGCGAAAACGCTATTAAACCTACCTTTTTATACTCCAGCCTCCGGCAATTACAAATTATAACTGAAGTGTTAACAGCCTATTGCCTGCCACCTCTTGAGCACTCTGCCGTGCAGAGAGCCCACGCAGCGGACGCTTGCAAACGGACAGCACGGAAATGCTGGGCGAGGGCAGGGAAACAAGTGGGAGCCTGGAAGCCGATAGATCTGGGTTTGAATTTTGACTCCACCACACTTACTAATTGTGGGACCTTGAGCAGGTGACTTCACTTCTCTGAGCCTCCTCCAAAAAGGAGATCGTTTATACCTTTTAGACAAGTTGCAAGGGGTAAGTGAAAGAAGGTACGAGAAGCGCTGTGCTGTAGCACTGTAGGTGCTCAGTAGTGGTAGGCATTTCTTTTATTATTCCCAGGAATGGAAAAGAGAATTAAGATTCAGTTTCATGCTTCCGAAAGCCCACACCAGAGCAGAGCTGTGAGTTGTGACGACTGCAGATACGTAACTGCTTGGTGCTGGCTGTGAAATCGAGGTGGGAAGGGGTTGCAAGATCCCATCCGTTTAGCCTCCTTATGTGGCAGCAGGGTCCTGGTTTGGATTCAGAGCCCCCTTTCCCCAGGGTCTATAGCTTTGTAGGAAGCTCCATCTCTTGTGTTGTTCAGGAACAACTTGTATAACGGGTCGTCGGGTTTGGAGAGGGTATTCAAGCATCAAGTTTGGCCCCCTCACCTCTGAGAGTTCCCCAGCTCTGAGACCCTGGGTCAGCGGTCTCCAATGGCCCCCATCATCTTACCCCTGCATGGGTGGCTACTAGTTTGTAGCTACAGGCCACTCCTACATGTTCCCCACAGTAATCCTGAGAGGTAGGCAGGGCAGGGGTCATCATCCCCACTTTATGGAATTAGCAAAGGAAGACTCAGAGAGGTAAGTCATTTGCCTTACCTCTAGTCAGATATCAGCAGGTGGAGTCACTTCCTGAAAAACCGTGTGCAAGGAGATGGAGGAGAAATGACAACGTATCTAATCAGAAAGAAAAGCAGAACATACCCAACTGTGGCACAGGGTAGAACATACCAAGTTCCAGCAATAGCACCATTCTATTTCTGTTACTCAGAGCCACCCCTTGGTTTTCAGGTACGACAGCTTTGGCCGCCTGACAAATGTGACCTTCCCTACTGGCCAGGTGAGCAGTTTCCGAAGTGATACAGACAGCTCAGTGCATGTCCAGGTAGAGACCTCCAGCAAGGATGATGTCACCATAACCACCAACCTGTCTGCTTCAGGTGCCTTCTATACACTGTTGCAAGGTAAGCCAGGTGGGGGGCTTGGGGACTTCGAGGCAGAGGGGTGAAGGGACCCCTTTGGAAGAGGATGATGTGAGAAATAAGCTGCTACTAGAGCCACCCAAGAACAGGAAAGCGTCACAACTGGTTTCTCTCTGCATTGCCATCTAATGTGCAGAACACACCAGCCCGAGTCCTGTATATTCTCTCCCAGAAGCTTCAGAGTAATAGTCCATTGTCTCATCCCATTATCATCAGAACAAAGGGTAGAGAGTGCACTAGCTGCTAATCCAGGTGACCTCACTGTTCTGCCATTCTAATGGTTCCTACTCTCACCCTGCTGTGGGTGAGGACAAAGGACAATAATAATTACACCTAATCATGAAAGGGATCTAGGCATGGAGAAGTCTCTGCTGAAGCTCAGGTGAGAACAGTTTGTTCTTCTCTAGAAGTGCCTTCTCTAGGACTCCATAGAGAAGAGACCCTTCTTCTCTGCACCCATCAAATAATCCCTGGTATGAGCTGACCTTTTAGCTTTTGGTAAATCACAGTGACAAAACCTTGCTGTGAACTAACCATCTGCCTCAATTGTCCTCAGGGGACATGGTGACCCAGAGTGGAGTTTGTAGCTTTGTTGGCACTAGTAAGCATGAAAAAGAAAAAAGGTATCCCTAGGGAAAGCCTTGTTTGATTTCCTTCCCCTGCCCCACCCTCCTGATGGCTTTTGGTACTCCCAAAAGCTTTGACACGAGTAGTAAAAAGAGCCTTGGGCTAGGAGTCAGGGGCCCAAATTCTATTCCTGACTCTGCCACCACGTCATGGGTGTGGGGGCCCTCAATTTTCTCCTCGAGGAAGCGAAAGCAAGTTGAGGGCATGTTGAATTGTATGGGGCAAAGCAAGGAGCAGAAGCTCTGGACTGGACAGACCGGGGTCCCTATGCCTACTGTGTTGGTTTCTACCTGTGTGAATTGGGTGGAATCATTCTTCTCTGAGCCTCACTCTCTGGGTCTGGGAAACGGGGCTGAATTAAGATACCTGCCTCGTACCCGTTGCTCAGACGATCTCTTGACACACTGTACATAGGGTGACCACCACGGGCAGGACTCGTAGAATTACTCAGTACTTGTTGGATTACTGAACTAAGTATTTCATAACTGGCACTTTGGTTTACCATAAGAAAATAACTATATATTTTCACAACCGATTTTACTCCCAAACCTAATCCTGTGCCTATAAAGAAGCTCAAAGAACAATAGCCATTCTCAGAGAAAGAGAAATGATATCCTGCAGCTCCTTCCCCACCAGCACCGGTAGCATAGGTTGGGACACACCCCAGGTATTTATGCTCTGACTGCATTATTGCCAAAAGAAGGTACCAATTCCGAGCCAGCCAGGTTCTGCCTGGCCAAGGACAGCAGGGCCCCTGCTGGCTCAGACACCCTGTCCTTCCCTGGGGTTAAGAACTGTCTTATCCACTCCACACCTCTGAGCTGGCTTGCGGCATTTTTCTCAAAAGTTAGCGCAGCCTTTCATATATTTAGGCAACTTTTTTTAAATTCGAAAGTACCACATTTCCTCACTTTTAAAATGTACCATCGATTTAATAGCAACTTTTCAGCTTGGAGAGGAGGGGAGACACACTGCTCAAAATTCATACAAGGACTTAAGACACATTCCAATTTCAGAAACACTAAAGTGGGAAAAGGAAAAATGCCTCTCGGAATCCAGGAAGTACAGTACCTGTGTTTCCTCTCTGGTGCCCCTGCCAAGCTCCCTTTCCTTTCATACCGGGCTTAGACGCTCCGTTTGGCAGCCACCTCAGTAGAGTCTTCATAAAAAGCTCTTTCAGCTTCATCTTACGTCTGAACTACGGGAAGAAATAAGAAGCAGCTGCTAATGAGGGGCAGGCTTGGGGAGTCACAGCTCACATTAAATGGGGACCGTTTGAGACGGGCCTCTACAAGATACCATTCCATCCAAAGTCACCATTAATGGACATATGTGCATTCAGCAAGAAGCAGCTTTAAAAGATAAAATGACACAGACTTTTTCGCCGTTCAAAGGAAGTAAAATACAGATTGCCAGTGAATAATGCATAGCAAGTTTAAGGCAGATCTTAGGATTCTGTGTGTGTGTGAGAGAATGAGTGGGAGAAGGATGGAGGGGGGAAGGGAGTGGCAGAGGAAGTTCTCGCCCGTAAGGCTCAGGGAGGGTTTTCCTACAAAACTGTACCTTTTTTTTTTTGCTTAACATAGCCTGTAATAGATCTAGTCCAATCCAGCTAATGTTTACTGAGCACATACAATAATACGAGTGATAGCTAACATTTTGGAACACTTATTAAGTATAAAGTAGATTTTTAGTGTTTTACATTCATAGTCCTGTTTCAGCTTGCCACAACGCTATGAGGTATTATTAACATCTCCATTTTCCAAATGAAGACAGTAAGTCACTGAGAGGTTAGGTGGCTTGTCCAAAGACACACGCCTGGTAGGGTATTTAGACCCAGACAAAGAGGCTCCAGAACCCATTCTCTTAACCACTGGTCTAAAGGCCATGGGAAGCCACTGAAGACCCATGATCAGTACTAGAAAAGTTCACTAGGACAGATCTATGCCGCGGGGCAGTGGAGGTAGAGGAGAGAGGACAAGAGATGTACGTGACTGTGAATAGTACAGTGCCAAGCACATGAAACTAGTACTAGCTAACATTTACATAATACTCATTACATACCAAGGACTACTCTCAGCTCTTCATAGTCACTATCCCATTTAATCCTACGAGGTAAGAGTCCAGTTATTATCCCCAAGGTACAGATGAAGAACCAGAGGCATGCGAGGTTAAGGAATTTGCCCAAGAGAGTGGCAGAGCTGGGACTTGAACCCTGATAGCCCAGCTCTGAAGGCCATGCTCTCCTTCTCTGGGCAGTTGTCCCTCTCGCAACGGGCACTTAGGTATTTGAGAGTGCCCTCATTACCAGAGTGGCAAGCCCTGAACCCCTCAGCTGCAGGACCACTAGTGAGGCCCATAAAGAGGCTAAGGGAAGAGGAGGCATTCGTTTTGACCAAGGAACTGGGGAAGCTTCTGGGGAGAGATGACAATTAAGCAGAGCCTTGAAGGGAGGACTTGAGCTGGCATTTATTGAAGAGAGGAAGCACCAGCTGAGGAAGGGCAAGAGGCAGAAGACTGAAGCACAAACTCAGAGATGTCTCCACTTTTAGAAAAGAACCATGTGCATTTTACAGCTGAAATGTACTCTTCTCCAGAAGTTTCTTTTAGCTAAAGATCCTAATTTAAATGTTTCAATCAGGTTTAAAATTTCAAAATCAGATCTATTTTTAAATCATTGGTATATCTATGCACATATATGTATAAATATATGACAGTGACTTCAAACATACATATGTTTGACATTTTGTCAATGACTTAAGTATTGGAGTTACTTCTCACCTTGTTATAAAGAATATTGTTACCCTGGTGTATATTAAGAACCTTAAAAATGTTCAACCCTTTGTTCTAGTAACTTAACCCAAAATGAAGACAATGATTTATCCAAAAAGTATATTTTTTAAGAGATGTAATTCACATACTATAAAATACACCCTTTTAAAAAAATTAAAAATATACAATTCACACTTTTAAAGTATACAATTCAGGGGGTTTTAGTATATTTACAAAGTTGTGCAATTATTAATGCCATCTAATTCTGGAAAATTTTTATCACTCCCAAAAAGAAAGCTCATACCCATTTAGCGGTCACTCCCCATTCTACCTTTTCCTCATTAACCTACTTTCTGTCTCTATCTATGAATTGGCCTATTCTGGACATTTCATATAAATGGACTCATTGATACATCACATGGTCTTTTGTGTCTGACTTCTTCCACTTAGCATAATGTTTACAATATGTTTATTTGCAGTGTTAACTTTGTAATTATGAAAAACTGGAAACAATATCTACTTGAAAGTTGGTTAGGTAAATTATGGATTTCCATATAATGGAATACTATGCAATCTTTAAGAGAAACATGAAAAATATTCAACAGTACAATACCATGAACAGTGAAAAACCAGAAGCAATTACTTTGAGCTATCAGTGTATTCAGAAATATCCTAAAGTCTAGGAATATACAAAATATTTACAGTGGCTTTTTTTGCGTATGAGATCATGGACGATCTCCCTCTATTTTCCTAGTTTTCTTCAATGATAGTGTTCCGTTTCCATAGTCAGAAAAATAAACCCATTTAAAAACACAGTTGCCCCTGATGTGCACCGCCCCCCGCCGAAGCCCATGCCCAGCCCTTCTGAGCAGAGCCGGTCCCTCTCCTCTCCTTCAGACCAGGTCCGGAACAGCTACTACATCGGGGCCGACGGCTCCCTGCGGCTGCTGCTGGCCAACGGCATGGAGGTGGCGCTGCAGACGGAGCCCCACCTGCTGGCGGGCACCGTCAACCCCACCGTGGGCAAGAGGAACGTCACACTGCCCATCGACAACGGCCTGAACCTGGTGGAGTGGCGTCAGCGCAAGGAGCAGGCTCGGGGCCAGGTCACCGTGTTCGGGCGCCGGCTGCGGGTGAGCAAGCCCCGGGGAAGGTCAGGTGGTCGGGTCGGGCCTCAGCCTCTGGAGCTCTGGAGGTCGCTGGGGTCGGGGGCGGGAGCGGGGGGTGGGGAGAATGAGAGAATGAGGACCAATCCGCAGAACCAGGCTCCATTCTCGAAACCAGCCCTGGGGGTAAAAGTTTTCCTGGGCTTTTTGCAAAAGGGGGAAAGTCAAGTAGGCGCCCCCCCACACACACCCATAAGTCTCGAATATCTTTTCAGTTGTTACCTGTGGAAAGAGTATTGGCTTTAGTGTTGGGCCTGAGTTGGGTTTCCAGCTTCTATCATACCCTGACTGAATCTGAGCAAATCCATAATGTCCTTTCATTCATCCAAAGCCTCAGTCTCATTGTCCAAAGGAATGGGAAGGATAAAATCAGTTTTACAAGTGGCTACGAGAATTAGAAATAGTATATAAAGTGCCTTGTGTGGAGTCTAGCACGCACTAAGTGGTCAGTCATACCTACTGCCGTCGTTGCTCCTGCCATTCTCACCACTGTTTTGGTCGTTACTGTTGTTCACATGGAGCTGTTTGGAACCTAAGCCCCATCCTGCGCTCTTTCCAGGCAGTTATCCCCTACTAAATGAGCACAACAACCCCCCCGCCCTCCCCATCAGCCGTCACCGCCAGTGGGTTGGCATGTGGGGCCTGGCAGTTCAGTATGTGGATGCCCTGAACCAGCCCGTTCTCTGCCTCACGCCCCATGCTTCTGGGGAGTGTCACCTCTGACCCATGCCAGGCCCCATTGCCTAGCTTCTTTTCCCTCCGGCTTTGGAATGGAAGGTGAGGGGCAGCGTGACAGCGAAGGAACTGGCCCTGGCTTTCAGCACAGCCCCTTGCAGATGCCTGGTGCTCTGCAGACACTTGCTGGGCTGAAGGGAACCACAGAAGTGAGATGTTCCTGACTCCTAAACACCACAGAAGCACCCTCATTCAGCACGGCTGGTGTCTCGACATATCCAGCATCACACAACGGGGACTCAGAAAGCCGGGCTTCCTGTGTTTCCTGCACGGCCAAGAACTCTGGCAAAAATCGAACGTGGGAAAGAGCCTTCCACTAGTTCCCTGAGGCAGGCCTCGCTGTCTGCGCTCTCGGTGGCCCGCCACCCTCTGCAGCCTCACGGAGCCCCCTGTCTGAATTCTCCGGGAGCCCCTCAGGCACGTCTGAGGCAATGTGCTAAAGGGGAAGTTTGACCTTGGTCTGATTCCTGCCTGGGCCTGGTTGTGTAGCCCCGAGCAACTGCTCTGAGTCTCCCCCTCCTCCGTGGAAACAAGACAATATATTCCAAGAACCTAGCCTGGTGCTGGTAGACCCCCAGGTGCTCAATAAACGGCGGCGATTAGTGCTGTTAGGACTTCCCGTCTGCGGCGTGAGCAGGACCAAAAGTTTCCCCGGCTTTAATTGGTCCCTCTCCCAGCCTGAGATTAACGGTGCTCCAGTCGGGTGGCCACGTCTCCACGTCCTCCCAAAATAAATGGCCACCCACAGTGGCGGCATGTGGAATTAGAATGTTAGCCGGGTGCGCCTCCCCATAATGGAGCTCATTTTTTATACAACTGGGAACTTTTTTAATAAAGAAAGATGTAAAATAATCTCATTGCCGCCACTGCCGAGCACAGGAAGCATTAGGCGGTTCCCCAGTGAGCTGCTTAATTCAATTTTATTAATTTTGCCACAGAGGTTTAGTTCCCCTTCACTAGGGGTCCTTCAGGGGACGAGGGGGGCAGCTGGCTGGGTGGCACCCCTTTGGGGGGAGTCGCAGGGGACCTTGCAAAAGAGGCTTTGAAATGTCCCCCATCGTTGGTGGGGGTGCGGACCCTGCATCTTCCTTTGCCCTCCCGGCAAAGAACACAGCTTCAGTCTCCAGCGCCTCCAATTTTTCATGGGAATTGTCTGCCACACTGTTTTTGCTCTGCAATTGTGTTTGATTACCCCTGGGAAGGCAACCTTATTACAACCAGGCCATTCACAGCTGAAGTTGTCTCAGCATCATTATAAATCCTTATTTTCAAGGTTTAAGAATTTGTTTGGAGAGAAGGGGGAAACATGTCTCTACTTTCCCTGAGAATGACCATGATCATTTGCTGCCTTAATGGAAATAATTGCAATCATTAATTCAGGACCTTCTAGTTGCCCAGAACTCCACTAGGCAGTTGACTTAGGCTTCTTCAGTCCTCACAATATCTCGGTTCGGAGGAAGAAACTGAGATTCAGAGAGGCAACGGCGCTTGCCCAAGGTCACACAGAAAAGCGGTGGGTCACAGCACTGAGGCTGGGATCCTGGCCTTACTTTCTAGACCTGAGCCCTTTCACCACACAGAGCCCTCCAGGGCCTCCCATTACCACGGCCCACATGTGCGCTTTTGAGTCACGAGACCTACATTGTCTGCTTTCCTTACGACTTGTCAGACTTAACCAGTGACGGATGGAAGAGTCACAAAGTGTACCCAGCCAGAGGGGGCCAGCATTTTAGCTTCAGAGTGCCTGGCAGTATTTCAGGGGCACCCGGTGCCTACGGGGTGGATCCCAATACGGAAGTAGGCCCCTGAAGTCTATTTCTTTATTAAACTATGAAGAACCCTGACTTACTACTACCCTTGTGGGAGCCCTGATCCTGCAAAGGGGTTCCTGATCCTGGAGGCAGGAGCAAAATGTCCCAAAGCTAGGACTGCGTCTGTCCCCGGGCACATAGAAGCTGTCCTAGACTCAAACGCACATGGCCTCCCAGGGCCTCCAGGAAGAAGACAACACCTTGGCAGCTGACCAAGGTAACCAGGAAGCCTTAACTATGGTGGCAGAGGGCAAGCGAGATGCAAGAGGGGATGAGAGGTCCAAGGCCCCTAAAAGGGACAGACACACTCAGAGGACCCCTGAGCATTTGTCAGCATGTGGCCGTAGTGAGAGTCACATCCGGACGCAGTCACTCACCAGCCAGGAGATCTGGAGGAGGCCCCTTCATGCCCCTGAGCTTTGGTCTCCTCAGTGCCAAACACTAGCACATTGCCTGGCACATGAGAAATGGGGTCACGCATGAATTTGCTGCACCCACCTGGCCTCTCCCCTTTTAGGAGAGAGTCGAGAGGGATCTGCCTTTTTGTCCTCATTAGAAGAATCCCATTAGGAGACGATATGGATTGTCTTCAGGACAAGCCACTGTTGGCTCAGCACCCGCATTGTCTTTGTTCTCACGATAGTCCTATGTAACTGGCATTGTTATTCCCATTTGACAGATGAGGAAGCGTCACAGAACTGACAGGTGACAGAGCCAGGACCCAAACCCTGTGTGTTCATACCCATGACCTGTGCTGCCTCTTCTACTCAGGACCTTCTCACACCGAAGTTTCCCATGCCCAGATTAATTCGCTCTTTCCTCCTGCCCCTTCTCCAGGTTCACAACCGGAACCTCCTGTCCCTGGACTTTGACCGTGTGACCCGCACCGAGAAGATCTATGACGACCACCGCAAGTTCACCCTCCGGATCCTGTACGACCAGGCCGGGCGGCCCAGCCTCTGGTCACCCAGCAGCAGGTTGAATGGCGTCAATGTGACGTACTCCCCCAGGGGTCATATTGCTGGCGTCCAGAGAGGCATCATGTCGGAGAGGATGGAATACGACCAAGCGGGTCGTATCACATCCAGGATCTTTGCTGACGGGAAGACGTGGAGCTACACATACTTAGAGAAGGCAGGTGTCCGTCTCCCCATCACTGGCCTTACCATCCAGAAGGCCAGTCGTTGTGGCTCGACCCATGGCCAGGCCCAGCCTGCTGACTTCAGTGGGATGGATTAGACCCATGTGGTCTCTGAAAGGAATTGTTCGGAAAAATCTGCAACAGGGGACCAGGGAGCCCGACAGGCATCTGGGTGCATTGTAGTGATGATCTGGCAGGTGGGAGTTTGGGGGCAGGAGAACGGGCAAGCCCCACATGATAAACTAGAGCTGGGAAGAGGCCCACTGCTAACTGGTCTCACAGAGCAGGACTCAGGGTGCAGACCCAGGCAGGGGTCTTCCCCCAGATCTGGGGCACACCTTGTGATCTGGTCACAGAGAACAGAGCAGAAGCCTAGCAATCAGTCCTTAAGCAGGAGGTAATTAATCCTGAGCTTTGAATGGTGAGCGTAACTTTAGTAAATCCCTTCTGCTTCAGGTCAGGATTTATTGCATCCCAGGGGCTAGGAATCAGAAAAGCCCTGAAAGCAAAAGTTGGTCCCAAACAGGAGGAAATGGGAGCTTTGCTGCTGAGAAGCCTCTAGGTCTGTTACCTCCTGACTTATTCCCAAAAAAGAACTGCACCTCAGGCCCCCATTCTGGTACCCACATCTTTACTTTGTTTCCTGCTCACGGTCACCTGCCCAGAGCCCGTGCTGTGCTTGGTCTGTGCTCAGTCTTCCCTGCCGTGCTGGGTGAGCATCTCCAAGAGCCGTGTTCTGTGGTGGTGCTAAGAGAGACCTTGGAGGTCATCCGACATACCCTAAAGCCCAACCCAGAGGGGGAAGGAACCTCCCCGGGGCCACACAATAAGCCCACTGTTAGGAATCAGGTTCCCCCATTCCCAGTCACCGCCCACCCCACCCCAGCGTGGGCCTATGACCTGTTTCCTACATAAACAATCATGCAAAGCTTTAAATGCCTTTCTCAGATGTGGTCCTTATCCCATGGGCCACGTGGAGTCCACAGAAGTTATTTAGCAGGCAGGAGATAACTGTCAGGCTGTGTTTCAGCAAAATTGTTCTTGCTTGAGTAGGGAGACTGATTTGAGAAGGAAGCTGAAGCAAGGAAGCCAGGAGAGAGGCTGCTGCCATACTCCTCATCAGTGTTCCCGACCTTTCTCACACACCAGCACCCACTGAAGTCATCACTTCTGTACCACACAAAGGGGCAAACAGACAAGGCTGCCCACCGTAGGAAGACAGATGGCCCAAGTGCCAGGGCCAAGGGCTGAGAGAAATCCTTTTTTTTTTTTTTTTAAGATTTTGTTTATTTATTTATGAGAAAGAGAGAGAGAACACATGAGCGGGGAGGGCCAGAGGAGGAGGGAGAAGGAATCTGAAGCAGACTCTGCACTGAGCGCCGAGCCCAACTGTGGGACTGGGTCCCACGGCCCCGAGATCACGACCTGAGCCGAAACCGAGAGTCGGACACCCAGGTGACTGAGCCACGCAGGCGCCCCAAGAATTCCTTAGCTTAGCACATTTGTATCCCCACTGCAGTATCCTGGGGCACACTGGTTAGAAAGCTGTGGTTTGGGCATAACTTAGGAGAACCACCGGTTTCCTTGGCCGTTTATTCCTCTCCTCTAAGTCTTAGGCACACAGACTTACCCTTCCTCCCCACCACCCTCCTCTCACGTCTTTGTTGTCCTCTCCCTCCAGTCCATGGTGCTGCTCCTCCACAGCCAGAGGCAGTATATCTTTGAGTTCGACAAGAACGACCGCCTCTCCTCTGTGACGATGCCCAACGTGGCCCGGCAGACCCTAGAGACCATCCGGTCTGTGGGCTACTACAGGAACATCTACCAGCCACCCGAGGGCAATGCCTCAGTCATCCAGGACTTCAGCGAGGACGGGCACCTCCTCCACACCTTTTACCTGGGCACCGGCCGCAGGGTCGTCTACAAGTATGGCAAACTGTCCAAGCTGGCTGAGATGCTGTATGACACCACCAAGGTGAGCTTCACCTATGACGAGACAGCAGGCATGCTGAAGACCATCAACCTACAGAATGAGGGCTTCACCTGCACCATCCGCTACCGCCAGATTGGGCCCCTGATCGACCGCCAGATCTTCCGCTTCACCGAGGAAGGCATGGTCAATGCTCGTTTTGACTATAACTATGACAACAGCTTCCGGGTGACCAGCATGCAGGCTGTGATAAATGAGACCCCGCTGCCCATCGATCTCTATCGCTATGATGACGTGTCAGGCAAGACAGAGCAGTTCGGGAAGTTTGGGGTCATCTACTATGACATTAACCAGATCATCACTACGGCGGTCATGACCCACACCAAACACTTTGACGCCTATGGCCGGATGAAGGAAGTGCAATATGAGATTTTCCGCTCCCTCATGTACTGGATGACTGTCCAGTATGACAACATGGGGCGAGTAGTGAAGAAAGAGTTGAAGGTGGGACCCTATGCCAATACCACCCGCTACTCCTATGAGTATGACGCTGACGGCCAGCTCCAGACGGTCTCCATCAATGACAAGCCACTCTGGCGATACAGCTATGACCTCAATGGGAACCTGCACTTACTGAGCCCCGGGAACAGTGCGCGGCTTACCCCACTAAGGTACGACCTCCGAGACCGCATCACTAGGCTGGGTGACGTGCAGTACAAGATAGACGAGGATGGCTTCCTGAGGCAGCGGGGCGGGGATGTCTTCGAGTACAACTCTGCTGGCCTGCTCATCAAGGCGTACAACCGGGCCGGTGGCTGGAGCGTCAGGTACCGCTACGATGGCCTGGGGCGGCGGGTGTCCAGCAAGAGCAGCCCCAGCCACCACCTGCAGTTTTTCTATGCAGACCTGACCAACCCCACCAAGGTCACCCACCTCTACAACCACTCCAGCTCCGAGATCACATCCCTCTACTACGATCTGCAGGGGCACCTCTTTGCTATGGAGCTGAGCAGCGGTGACGAGTTTTACATAGCTTGTGACAATATCGGGACCCCTCTTGCTGTCTTCAGTGGAACGGGCTTGATGATCAAGCAGATTCTGTACACGGCCTATGGGGAGATCTACATGGACACCAACCCCAACTTCCAGATCATCATCGGCTACCATGGTGGCCTCTACGATCCACTCACCAAGCTCATCCACATGGGCCGGCGGGATTATGACGTGCTGGCTGGTCGCTGGACCAGCCCAGACCACGAGTTGTGGAAGCACCTTAGTAGCAGCAACATCATGCCTTTTAATCTCTACATGTTTAAAAACAACAACCCCATCAGCAACTCTCAGGACATCAAGTGCTTCATGACAGGTGAGGATTGGGGCTCGGTCAGAGGACAGGACCCACTACAACTCTAGTCATCTGACATGATTGTCTTCCTTGAGAAAGCTGGTATGGGGTAACAAGAAACATTGGCTTTCTCTTACAACAGCGTTTTCCAAAGCATTTTTTAAGAAACATTGGTTTAGAGAAATATCCTGGAAAAACTGGTACTGACATCAGATTAATTTAACAGGGCAACCACCATTCTTAAAATTTAATAATACATTGCAGCTTATGAAAGGCTCTGAGAAGTCCTATAGTAAAGAGAACTGTTTGATACATTTACCCACGATTTCTCAAACATTTGCCCATGAAACCCCTTTACCCACTGTTTCTCAAACATTTGAGCATAAAACCCCTTTTTTCACCATGAAACCCTAATATTTCACTGGATACACCCCTGAGAATACAGTTTGGGAATTTCTGGCCCAGAGATCAGGCTGGCTATGAGTCCCCAATAAGGTGGATGAAGGTATAGCTAAAGAAAAACAAATTCAGTTTTCTTATTTGGGATGATGTAATGGACAGTCACGCAATTTACTTAACTTCCCTGAATTCCAGTTTCCTGATCTGTAAATTAAAGTTAGAACCTGACACTGGTAAATTAAATATGCACACTGTAAATCCTCAAGCAACCAGTAAAGAATAAAACAGAGACATAGCTAATTAGTCAATAGTGGAAATAAAAGTGAAGGCTAAAAAAATATTCAATCAAAGAGGGGAGGAAGAGGGGATAAAAAGAGAAAGATGGTTGCAAGGGCGAACTGAGATACATTTAATAACCTGCCTAGCACAGTGCCTGGCTCATGCTGATTAACTTTCTTCTTCCCGGATTTAAAAAGTGGGCTTTGTTTTCCATGACTGTGAAACCACCTGAAATATCACTGTCCCCATTGGTCACACATGCCAGAAATGTCTCCAGCAGCCACAGTCCAGCCAGCAAGCAGCCACTAGCAGGCCAGCCACGAAAGACCCCCAGGAGTCAAAGCAGCTACGGGGATTCAGGTCTGGATAAAGCCAGCACTTTTTATAAGAGAGACTTTGTTGTTGGCACCAACTGGGCACCTCCCGACATGCAAACCTGGTCATCTCCTTCTGTTTTTCCTGTGATGCCAGCTATGCCTGCCCCCTATTTCAAGGCAGTTTCATTTTCATTCAACAAATACCTTCTCTGTGCAGCCACTGTTTTAGGCACTGGGTATAGAAAGATGGTTGCTGCCCTCCAGGAGTGCACACAGCGGTGGGGAGGGAGACAGTTGCTGTCCAGTGTGAGGGGCCCGGGATGAAGGTTTGCCCTGATGGCCATTGAAACACAGGAGGCACAGCTGTCTCTGCCCAGGGAGCAGCGGATGCGTGGGGCCCCCTTCACGGTGGACATTCATCAGCCAGTGGGGAGAAAGGCAGTCCAAGGAGAGGACCGCACATACAGAAGTCTAGAGAGGGCAACAGGGACCGCTCACATAAGTGTCCCTTAGGGAAGTGGCTTCCTGGCCCCCCGAACTTGGCGGCCCAGTTTGGAACCTGTTTCTGCTGAAACTGATTGGAGGATTCCTGGTGGTCATGTTGAGAGCAGGAATCCCAGAGTGGGGCAGAAGAGGGAACACAGTGGTGGGCAGGTGCGGTGGTGAAAACACGCTTGGGACCTGTGGGAAACAGGAATATCCCAACCACAGTCTCACTGTGCTCAACTTGCTGGCAGCCCGAGAAAACTTAACAAATTTAGAGCTCAATTCCATTACATCTGTTTGCATCAAGCATGCCCCCTGCCTCATCCTCCAGTGAGTGTCTTGTGAGGTATCTTGGCAGGTTAGTTTAGCTGGAAAAAAAAAATGGTGCAGAAAAACATTTTGCTACTAAAAACCAAGACACCCCCAAACCTGTTAGCTTCCACGTGAGCTATGTGCAGCCTCAGTCACACCCAGCAGTAACACCAATAAAAAGAGCATCTTTTTTCCAAAACTTTCTTCAAAGGTCCTGAGATATCCTCCAGTGGGATAGGCTTAGGTCACATGACAGCCCCTGAACCACGCACTGTGGCTGGAGAGAGAAAACGCGCTGACTGGCTTAGCCTAGGTCACATGCTCATTTGCCGAAGATGGAGTCAGCGTCCCTACAGCTACACAGATACCCCAAAAGCAAAGAGCGGGAAGGCAGAATGGGATGCTGGGAAGGCAACCACAAGACGGCCACTTCAGATACATCACACACACTACTGCAGTAACCCTCCCGTGAAGCCTGTAAGATGGGGATCACTGACCCCATTCTCAGAGGAGGAAAGTGAAGGTCAGAGCTGTAACGTAACTGGCCCGCTGAGAAGTGGCAAGGCTGGTGCTGGAACTCGGCGCCAACTCTAAAATCCTCATTCTGGGAATGGAATTCACTTTGTAGTGTAAACACGTAAAAGGGATTGTTATTCATCGCTGCCCCGGGTGGCCACGCCCGAAGTCTGGGGCGGACGGGTAAAGAGGAGCTTTTTAACTTGAGGGAAATGTCTAACTCTGGTGTCATAAAAAGGAAGAGTAAAATTCCCAACTCTTCAGAAAAGCACTGTAGAAAAACCAATGAATAAATAAATACATTTTCAGCATTTTTCCTAAAGGCATCATGAGAAATGTCCCTACCTCCCATCACTTATAATTAAGGCCCAGCCCTCTTTTCAGCCCCCTGGTTTCCTGGGAATTTGTAATATTCCTGCTAGAAGTTTTCCTTTCCAACTACAAATTCAGATGCAAGTCATCGGCCTCAGGCAAAAATGGCTTCGTAGGGGACTTTTTCCCCCGTGTTCTGTTTGTTTTAATTTCCTAAAAAACCATCTGCCATGATTCAGAGAATCAGAGATTCTCAAAAACTCAGTGAGGAAAGGGACTTTGGAGGAAAGCTAGTCCAAGGGCCTCATGTCATAAATGAGGAAATGGGGGTTTAGGGAATGCAGAGGCCCGGGTTTGAAGGGACACAGAAACCAGCCAGGAACCGAGCTGGACACTTCAGAATATAGTATAGGAAACCCAGTCCTTCCTGTAACAGACTTACAACAGTTCTCTCTGTATGATGGCTGCCCAAAGTGGTAACACTATTAGCTAATAGTGTTAATAGTGTTAATACCACTAATAGTGGTAACACTATTATTCTTCTCCATGGCTTGGTGAAAACCATTTCTACCACCAGTTTGTAGATCCGGAATCAGAACCTCGGAGAGGTTGAGGCAACTGTCCCGGTTCACACAGTCTGCAAGCTGGGGAGCCTGAATTTGGACCTGGGTTTTGTCTTGCCTCACCATGCTCTTTCCCTTCCACGATCTTTCTAGAAGTAGAACCTGGGTTTCTAAGCTGCCCTTCCTACCTTCCCTCCACTCCAGTAGCTCTAGATTTCACACCCCACAGAGGGGCTCTGGGACATCCAAAAAACACAAACAAACAAAAGACAAAGGCAAACGTGAGGTTCTCGAATGGGAAGACAGCATGGGTTTCTGTCCTGCTCCAGCCAGTTTTTCTTTCTGGTTCTCTCTCTGCCTTGCTGAGCTGCTCTCCAGTTACCTGAACACTCCCTGCACTCACCTCCCCTCTCCCGACCTTGCCTTGTATGACGGTCTTTGCCTGAAGCACCCTCTTCATCTCTGCTGAAGCCTGACAAAAGGGACACAACTTTCAATGTCTGCCTGAAAGGCCGCCTTCTCCGAGAAGACTTGTCAGCCTGTCCAACTAAAAGACTTCTGCCCTCCTCTCATCTTTTCTTCTTGTGTCAAAGTTTTGCATGCCCACGTCTCATCTCCCCTTCGGGGTCCTGAGTGTGCAAGGTGAGGGTCAGTGTAACACGCTCCTGGGCACATTCAGCAGCAGCGGGCCAGGTAGCGGATGGCATAGCACCCAGCCTCTTTCTCTTCCTTACGTCTTGGCTTCCCTGATTCTGTTCCTCAATGAGCCAAAGGCTCATGGCAAAATCCTCCCTGTCCCTTTACGTAATATTTTATAATTAGTAACCCCCCAGGAATGTTATAACATCATCAATGAAACCAGTGCCTGTGGGACTAGATCCTCAAGCCCCATATTAAAGATCGGAAAATGAAGGCACGGGGAGGTAAGTGACTTCCTTCGAGTCACTTCCCAGAAGAAATGAAAGGTATGATCAGCGTGGGGGAAACTCTTTGAGCTTTGGTACAGGCCATCTTGTCACTTGGGAGAGGAGGGAGGGCTTATTTCTTAAGTGAATTTTCTCTTTGAAAGCATTCATTTACATCTTCCCTTTGGGTGTGGCTGTCCTCCACATGTCCTACGGATGCCAGGAGAGGACACAGAGGGTCCACAGCTGCCCCACTCCGGGTGTGAGGCCAAGGCCCCAGGAGATGGAGTGACAGAACAGGGGATCTGGAAACATACACTCTACTGGATACACTCTTGGATACATACCCAGGAAGGGGACACCAGCTCCCGAGAGTGCACGCGGCTTTTATAACCATGAAACAGTTTTCCAAAGTGCCTGTAGCAGCTGATTGTCCCAGCTGCAACACCCCGCCCCCTTGCAGCCTAACTCTAGGCTAATTTATTGGGATATGTCACCTCTGAGGGCCACTTACTCCATGAGGACATGTCTGCTTCTCTCCCACCCAGATGTGAACAGTTGGCTCCTCACCTTTGGATTCCAGCTACACAACGTGATTCCCGGCTACCCCAAGCCAGACATGGATGCTATGGAACCATCCTACGAGCTCATCCACACACAGATGAAAACTCAGGAGTGGGACAACAGCAAGGTAATTGGCACACGTAGCTGCCACCCTTAGGCCATTCAGACATGACAGGAGTGGGTCCTGCAAAGCTTTCCAGGAAAGCATGCGCCCGTAACAGAAACCGATGTGGTATATCCCAAGAGCCTGCCCGAAACTGTTCAGCAAATACATAGGAACCCTACCACTGCAAGCCACCGTGGACCCAACTGTAACAGCGCACAGACCCTCACAAGCCCTATTAAGTTTTCTATGTTACGCTGAGTTTGGAAATCTACAAAAACAATGAGCCTTTGTCACTACCCACAGCAAAAGTGCAAGGAGGGAACGTGTGTTCTAAATACAAATGTGGTATTTTCCAAGCACCTCAGTGCACCTGAACTTGCCTGAGGGATTCTACACCAGTTAACTCATAAATATCCCCTGGCGTTACTGTTCACATTGTACAGATTTAATGCCCGAGGCTTTCCAGTGCCACACAGCAAGGGAAGGGTTAGAGCTGGGATTCAAACCTGGATCTGTCCGTAGGCATTCAAACAAATGTTACTTTCTCTTCTGTTCCTTTTATGACCCAGTTTGAAAGACTCACGGAATTCTATAGCTGTAAAGGTCCTTGAAAACAGTTTTAGCCCACCCCTCACTTGCGGCATCCTTTTGCTCATTTCTTCCTCCCCTCTCCCCCACCTCCCCCTCTGCATAATATATGTAGTAGGAGCTGGCTCTTCCAGGCCCCATGCTGCACCCAGTGAATGCAGCAGTGTATCAGGCAGAGAGCAGGCCTCCCAGGGGATCCCAGTGGAGGGGGAAAGCCAAGTTGTTAGATGGCATTCCACTGGCAGCCAGAAACTTAACGCATCCAACCTGATTCCATTAGTCCTCAGCTGCCTCCTTCCTCTAGACTCTGGAGAACAGGACTCTGCGCCTCTTGGCTCTGGAGGCACCCTATATTCTCCTCTTTCAAAGCACTCACCGCACTTGGCTTGAGTTCCTGTTTTCTTCCTGTATCTCCACTAGACTCTGAGCCCCAAGAAGGCAAACACTGGGTCTTATCTGGTACCCAGTATACTGCCCAGCACCAAAACTTTTGTTGAATGAACAAATGGTTGAAAGAAGTAAACAACCCTGTGAGCATTTATGAGGAGACCAGAGCTCAGAGAGAGACTTGCTCAAGGTCACTCAGCAGGAAAGACGATGAGAACCCCTAGGGTGTCTGACCACAGAGCCCGTCCGCTTTCTGCTATTCTCTGCTGCCATAGCCCTGCCCCTCTGCCCGGCTCCAATCCCCACCATCCTCCCAGGCCGGCCTGGCTGTGCCCAGGGCTGCTTCCAGCAGCTCAGCTCCTCCCCTCACCCCTCCCCCCAACCCCAGCTTCCCTTCCCCCCTGCACAGAGCCCCGGTCTCAGACGGCCTGTTTGCCAACCTCGCCTGTCAATGAATTATTGATTTCCGCCCTTGGCAAGCATCGGAGATCTTTGTTGTTGAGCACTCCAGCTTTCGTGAAACTCTAGGAAATAATTGTTCACAGACAGGGTTCTATTAATTATAAAGAGGACTTAATTTCAGTGAGAATCCAATGGGCCTGTTTCTAAAGCCATTTCCCTGAGTTCCCGATAAGGCCCCGGAGCCCACCCGCACCTGGCTTTGCCAGGCTCCCTGAGCCATGGGAGGGACTGGTAGGTGGTATGACATGGAGACAGGGCCCAATCTGTCCCCCAAAGCAGCCAAGAGCAGGGGCATCTGAGGAGCCCCCAGGAAGCACTGTGGGGGCAGAGCCCTCCTTGAAAATCATTCATAACACGACAGAGAACAATAAAGCAGGGCAAGAGAGTTTATATAAATCACCACTTTTCATCTTCCTAAGCCTCCTTGCCAAGAACACATTTCTTGCCATTGCTCCATCTTACATCAGCCCCTTATCCTCCAAGTTCCAACTCAAGCATGAGTCTGTCCTTGAACCTCATTCCTCCACCTTCAGGCTGAGATGTTCTGAGCCTTGTTTGCTGCTCCCTAACCTAGAGCCCTTGAAAGTGAACCTCTAGAGTCAGACAGACCTGAGTTCAAATGTTGGCTTGAATACTTACTAGCAGTATGACTGTGGGCCCATTACAACTTCTTAGAGGCTTAGTTTTCTTAGATGTAAAATCAGTAATATAACAGTACCTACTATATAAAGTTATTGTGGAGATCAAATGAGGTACTGAATGTGACTTCTTTAGCTCAAAGACCAAGACATGTTAGCTATAGGTATGACTAGTACTTCTCCTAGACCACTAGTTATCACGTTTGATTATAGCTTTGTGTGTCACATCTGTCTCTCCCCCACTAAATGATGGGTTCCTCAAGGGCAGGGATGTTGTCTGATTCATTGTTGTCTCTCCAGTGCCCAGAAAAGGACCTGGCACAGAGATGTTCCCTGAACAGTTTCTTAATGGAATGATGGGGGAATGGATGGGTGAAGGATGGTGGAATGGTGTAGTGGTCAGCGGTAGGGCTAGATGCTACTGGTTAATAAATATGTGTAGATTTGACTTAGTAATGTAAGCTGAGTCTTCAGGCTATTAGGGAGAGGTTTTCCCCTTTGTCTCATCCTCTCTCTCTCCATCCCTCTCTCTCTCTCCTCCCCCATCAGTCTATCCTCGGGGTACAGTGTGAAGTGCAGAAGCAGCTCAAGGCCTTCGTCACCCTGGAACGTTTTGACCAGCTCTACGGCTCCACGATCACCAGCTGCCAACAGGCCCCCGAGACAAAGAAGTTTGCATCCAGTGGCTCGGTCTTTGGCAAAGGGGTCAAGTTTGCCTTGAAGGATGGCCGAGTTACCACAGACATCATCAGTGTGGCCAACGAGGATGGGCGGAGGGTCGCTGCCATCTTGAACAACGCCCACTACCTAGAGAACCTGCACTTCACCATTGATGGGGTGGACACCCACTACTTTGTGAAGCCAGGGCCTTCAGAAGGCGACCTGGCCATCCTGGGCCTCAGTGGGGGGCGGCGAACCCTGGAGAATGGGGTCAATGTCACCGTGTCCCAGATCAACACGATGCTCAATGGCAGGACTAGACGCTACACAGACATCCAGCTCCAGTACGGGGCGCTGTGCTTGAGCACTCGCTACGGGACGACGTTGGACGAGGAGAAGGCGCGGGTGCTGGAGCTGGCCCGGCAGAGAGCCGTAAGCCAGGCGTGGGCCCGTGAGCAACAGCGACTTCGGGAAGGGGAGGAAGGCCTGAGGGCCTGGACGGAGGGGGAAAAGCAGCAGGCACTGAACACAGGGCGGGTTCAAGGCTATGACGGCTTCTTCGTCATCTCCGTGGAGCAGTACCCAGAACTGTCGGACAGCGCCAACAATATCCACTTCATGAGACAGAGCGAGATGGGCCGGAGGTGACAGAGAGGACTCCGGCCTGCACTTCTTGCCAAAGACAGCTACTCTTTTGTGGCCACACACCTGACTGTGTTGTACTTAAAAAAAAAAAAAAAAGAAAGAAAAAAAAAAAAAAAAGAAAAATCCTTTTTTTAACAAGTGCAGAAAACAAACAAACAAACAAAAATACTGGTTGCATTGTAACTCATGCAACATTCTTTTTTTTAAGAAAAGAAAAACACAAATTTGGCCTTCACACATTTTTTGCACAGAACAGAAGGTATTTTTTTTTCTGTAGTGTGATCACAATGAAAACTTTATTGTCTTTTGTTCCCTTTTTCCTTGAGGATTTTTCCCTGTTGTTGGGGTACATTTCTCCTGAGACACATCTTCTGAGGTGTGTCCTTGTCTGTCTCTAGGTACCCAGTGTGATGTGAGACACAGTGTCTGTGCTAATTTGTCTCATGTGCAACCCTTTCTTCCGTGGGGGGAGGGCAGGAGTGAGGGGTGCAGAGTCACGGGCTAGTACCAAACATCCGAGGCGGGCCTGGAAGGAGGGTCTGCAGGACCTGAGGATTTTTGGCTCAGCTCCCACAGACAAGTGGTGGCTTTTTTACTCACCATGTTCTGTGCCTCTGGAGGACCGCAGACGTCTTCATCTTGCTCTGGGGAATTTTGTGATATCACTCAGCACCTTTTTCAAGCTGTCCCCAACTCCTGTCCAAGCTTTATATTTTGATGCTAAATGGAACCCCCAACCCCTTTTGCAAATCCTGTGTAGTTGTTGGTGCCAGCCCCATGCTGGGATGGAGAAAGCATTCCCCAGGTCCCTTCCCCCAGTCTGGTGACATAACATCCTGGGGCTAAGAGCCTCATCCTCCCCAAGAGGTAGAGGCACCCAGGATGTCTGTGGTTGGTTGGTCTTCCCATGATGTTCCTTATTATTCATCTCTTCCTCTCTCCCAAAGTCAGATGTGAGAACCAGCACTGCCCGGCAAGCCCTCCACGTGGGCACAAGGTCCAGGGAGGGGCAGGCCACCCGCGGCAAAAGGATGGCAAAGGTACCAGCCTGCCTTCCTGGGTGAAACTTTCTCCCCATGACTTGGGGTATCTTCCCTCCACTGCTCAGCTCCACCACTGAGAAACAGGAGTGCGGAGAGAGGTGCTTGGTGGCCTTTGGTTCTGCAAAGAGACTTAAGAAACAGTCAGCCAAAGAGAGGAGGCATAAGCCAAGCGTCTTCTAACCAGCTCCTGAAGGCTTCTCTGCCTCCCACTCGTGGGCCAGTAATACAGCGGGGGTGCAGCAGCTTAGGTGTTCAGGAATTCCTTCTGTGAAGTTCTTCTAAAACAGCTTCCCCTCTGGAGAGACTGAGGAGAAAGGAGGACAGAGCTAATCGGGCGTGACCTGGCCGTGTCATCCAGCCCCCGCCCCCCTGCTGCCCCCGGGCTGGGACCAGTTCCTGAGGCCGATGCCCGCAGAGCAGGGGGGCCAGGCTACAGTTGTCCCTGTGGAGACCTAGGCCTGAGGTCACTGGGAAGAGGCATTCGCCCCCTGGGGAATGGGCACAACCCACCCCTGGAGGGCCTGACCAGGGAAAGGCTGCAGCCAACGGGCCAGGTAGGCATTGAGGGGAGGGGAAAGCAGCAGCAAGAGTTAGGAGCTCCTCGCTCCTGGTTCATCTGCCTAATTACGATCATCATTACCACTCACAGGAGGTTCTGGGAGACCTGGAGGGGAAGCCAAATGCTTCCTTTTGAGCTGGGCTTCCTAGAAAATGGGACTTTTATGGGTTACATTTACATTAAGTGTGGAAAATGAATTCTGAGTCTGAGCTATCCCCCCATGGAGACCTTGTTGGACTGATAAGCTCATGGCACCTTTATAGCCTTACTCACAGAGTCTTCAGAATATTACACGAGTTAATGAAACCAAGAAGGTCTTTACCGCGCGAGAATTGGAGCAGCGTGTAGCCTGGTTTCTGCCTGGCAGAGGGAGGCATCCACAGCTTCTCGGGAGAGGAGGTTTCGCCTTACGTCATCCCACCGGGATTAGAGGATATGTTTCGCTAAGTGCTCTTCCTGTTTCCAAAAACAGTCACACTGCTGCGACAGTGCACCTTGGCCTGTTGGTCCGCTGGGTCCAGAGTGCCGCTGAGTCAGATGCGGTGCTCCTGGGGCCCGCTGTGTGTGGTTCCTGGGAGCTGGTGGTGGGCTCCCATCAGGCATAATCGTTCTTGGATGGGAGGGACAGCAGTTTGGCCTGAAGAACACATGTTTTTTTTTTAATCCAAAATAGACTTCTGCCTCTCAAAGCATACTCTTGATATAAGGAGCCCTTGGGTGAAGCTCTCCTGCCCAGTAGCCTAGCTGATCAGTTCTATCTTGGCTGCCTGACACTAGTCAAGACCTGCTGGGGACATCTACTTGGAGGTGAGAGGTAACACGAGAGCCAAGGGAATGAATCATCTCCCTACACCTTCCCAGGCCTCTGAGCCTCCACCACCGACCCCCCACCAAAGTGATAGTATGGACTTCTAAAGATCAAAAACAAAGAGAATTCCTGTGTGTTCCTTTCGTTTCAGCGAATAATGTTTTACCTGTCCTGAGCTACACACCACCGAGGAGACCCAGCGTCTGTGCGGGGAGAAATTGAGGCATTCCCAAGCTTTAGAGAAAAGATGTCAGGTGTGGGCTAGGCAGCATTATTTCACATGCATACTACTGCTCCTGGAGACGGCACTTCTGGCCTTGGCCTTCCTGAGTCGGCTTCCGATCAGGCCAGCAGGTGACGAAGTGCCTCCCTTCTCAGTCTGTCCTGCTGCTGAGACCAGCAGGCACAATCTCACAGCAAGAGTGAGTCTGAAGGCGTAAGCCAGAGAGATCCCTGTGCCCACTGAGTGGCCTCCAAGCATCAAACCCCAACCTTGATGGCACCTGCCCTTTTGGCAATAAGCAACCCAAACATGTTCATTTCTTGGAGCAACCAGCCTTCCCTCACTGGCCCAGGGTCGTGATCCTGCAGGAGGTCAGCTTCTGTGCCCTAGAAAAGGGTTTATTTTGGAAGAATTCCTGCCTTCTTCCCTGTCTTCCACAGCTCCCATCGGGCCCTGACCCTCAGCCCCTCTGCCATCATTTTAAACAGGACTTTAATGATGCCCCAACTTGGTTTTTTTATAGGATGAGGTTTCCTTTTTTTTTTTTACCCACCCTCCAGACAGACAGCATTGGAGGGCAGAGCTGTGACGAGGGGAAGAAGGGGAAGAAACTCCCAGGTAAATTACAGCTTTGTCAGCCCCTGATGCTTGTCTCTCAGAACTGTTGGCTGAGAATTAACCCAAGGAACAGCCCAGTGCCTGAGGTCTACCTAGTGGTGGAGAATTTGAAACAATCCCTAGGAAAGTGACCAGAAGTTGAGAATGGTTTAAATAATCAGGATGGGGTGGGGCAGAAGCAGAAGGGGACTGCAAGGCAAGGAAGGGGATTAACCCTGGGCAGTGTTTTTATAGACACATAACAAGGAAGCACATTCGCTTAAAAAAAAAAACAGTATAAAGGACCTTTTCAGCTGTGACCTTTAAGTACCACCTTTATAGGTGGCAGTTTCCATTATGCAAAGACAGGGCTCTCGAGGTGAAATCTTAGAACACAGTTTCACATCTGCAGCCTCGTGGTTGTGGTGGCCACATGGTGAGGGCAGGGATGCTGAGCTTGGTGCCCAGGAGCAAGGAGCTCGCCAGGACTCTGCAGGATCCCGGGCTTTGGGGTTTGATCTCCTGGTGCTCAAAGTCAGATCTCTTCTCCATTCCTCATAGCAACCACTAAGCCCAGGTTCTGGCTTCTGGTCCTGAGCTGGGGCCTGCCTCCAGAGAGGTCCCAGGAAGAACCCAGTCTCTTCTTTCTATTGGGAACCTTGTTAGGACTCAAAGCCTTCCGTTTAAGGCTCATAATTCCCAGCTAGGTTTATACATTTGTCTACATTTTATTGGAAGGGAGGGGATTAAAAGAAAGAACTCTGTCGTTCAAGGCCCTTTCATTTAACCTTCAAAAAAACAGCAAACTCATTTTAAAGACTCATTGCTCAGGTGATAGAAACTTTATCCTTTCTAACCTTTACATTCTCCAAAACCAGCCCTGTGTACTTAACCGCCCCAGACAGCGGCGAACTCTTTGGTTTCATCATGAATGTGGAAGATCAGAGTGGGGAGGAGGCCTGGGTGGGGCTCATGTTGGGTTTCTTACCCCCTCTGGAATGCCAAAGGCATGACACTGGGTGACTTCTTGGTCCCCAAGAACATGTGATTGATTCTGAGGGCAAATTGCCAACGGAGAAGCAAGCCTCAGGCAGGCTCAGCTGTCCCAGCAGAAGCTGAGTCACAGATGTGTGGTGGTGCCCGGCAGCCCCCAACTCACCCAACACCAGAGTCCCACTTTTCTAAACCTGCCTGTTCTTGAACACTTCTGAACCTGCAGCTTTGGCAAAAGGACTCTCCCAAGCTGCCTTTGGACGACCAACACTGGAGACTCTGGCCTTACCATGTGGAAATAGTTTTCCTGAAGTCTGGAACTAATTTTGAGAAGTTTTTTTCTCAACACTTTTGTGTTTCTAACACTGTATTCTTGACTGTGTAAATACCGACAAGGCTGTAAATAAAGGCAGATGTAGATACCTTCTAGAAAAAAAAAATGCATAAAAACAAAACCAGAAGTGATCCCGTGTAGCCTTCGTTGACAAATAAAAGAATATTTTGTGTTTAAGGTGTTGGGTGGCCTTTGTTTGGAGAGTAAGGACTGCCTGAGCCAGTCCTCTGAGTTTGCACTGCTGGATGCTTCTGTTCTCAGGATGACCTGCAAGACTCAGGTCCGTGGCCCCAGAGGCCCTCATAAGCCATCTAGGTGACAGCTGTCTGGAGAGGCTTGCCACAGGCCACAAAGACCCCGGTGCTTAGCCTCGCAAACGTCAAGGCACCTCTGACATCAGCTGTGTCCCCACCGCCCCCCAGGCCACGCCCTCCTCCAGCTGATGTCCTCACTGGCTTTGGGGACAGGCTCCAAGAGGCAGGACAGCCCAACACTGCCCTGAAAATAGAGCCACTGGGCACAGAGTTGTCCCCTAGGCCACTGGTTGCACTTTCGAAAAT